TGGAAAATTTTACCACTTCAATGTGCTTCATTGTATATGTAATCCTTGCGAGGAGACCCTTCATTGGATACCAAGAACTTTGACCATATGACCTTGACCTTTGAGATTGACCTACTTTAAAAAAACAAACCTTGACCATTACTTTTAAAGGGTTAAAGCTAGTACTTTCATACTTTACATATTGTATCCTTCTGAAAGACCTTTCATTTGATAACAAGAACTTTGACCCTTTGACCTTGGAGTTTGACCTACTTTTAAAGAAATAACCTTGGCCATAACTTCTGAACGGTTAGGGCTAGGGCTTTCATACTCTATGTAAGTATTCTCTGTGGCAATACCTTTCATTTGATACCAATTACATTGACTTTTTGACCTTGACCTTTGAAATTTCTGTACTTGTTGAAAAAAAAACTTTAAAATTGGCTTACTTTCAAATTTCACGATTGTTTTCCAATGAGAATACCCTTCTTTTGTACCAATTAATTAAATTTGCATTTAAGAAAAGTTTTATCTATGCTATGTTGCCATACGGGTGCATCAGTGTTTCACAAACACATCTTGTTTATTATGTAATTTATTCAACACAGCAGTTTTAAAAAGATGCTTCAATATTAAGATTACACGAACAGTTTTTTTACAGTAAGCCTGAATTGTTTGTTATAAACAAAATAAATGATTGCATTTGTTGCATTGTTTATGCAGTATGTTTTAACTAAAACTTCATAGAATACCCTGTTAGTAAAAGAAAGATCGTCAATGTTTACAACAGAGCTTTTGAGAAGGATCTGACTCAGGAGGTATGGAAAATAGCCAAAAAGAAAGGACAATGTCACAACAGAGAGTGTCACGGTGGTTTTAGTCAGCTGAGCTTTCCTCCGAAATTTAGAGTGGCTGTTCCATCGAATCTCGTTCAGCATCACGTGACCACAATCTTTCGAGATTGAAAACAGTGATGGTGATCTTCTACTTTCTTGTATCTGTTTGCTGCCTTGTATGCTGTTATCTTGTGAAGAAAGTGATTGTCCGCTTTCTACTCGCAACATATTGCTATCTTTTAGTTGAAATTGAAATCGCTTCCATTGCGAAATACGTTTAAACACTTTCGTGTATAAATAGAACAGAATGCACAATGATGTCACAAAAACTGTTAAAAGAAAGCCGTAATATAGACCCACGAACATAGAGGATTTAACGTCATCAGCTATAGCACATGTATAACCCACAAGTCCTTGTATGCATTTGTTTCTCACAGTCGATTTGCCATAAATACAAGCTGTTGTCCATGAAATTACTGTTGCAGTGGTTATGAGAACGAGCACTCTGATTTTTGGATTTGCATTAGAGTACGGTATAGGGGAACATATTTTCTGATATCTGTCTAAAGCGATACAAATTAACATTAGTCCTTCACAGCTGTATGTTAGCATGGAAACACTTCGAAAGATTCTGCAAGCAAGATCATTGTCAAACAGCACTGGATTTCCTATGACATATATCTCAAACGGGATGCTGAAAAAACAGCATGCTAAATCAAAAATAGCCAGCCAGAGAATGTAAATGTTGGCCGTTGTTCGTTTAAAGGAGAGGTTTCCACAAGGCTGTTTTTTGGCCCATGTTTTTTGTGAAAAATGAAATAAGATTGCCAACAATTTTAAACTTCCTTTCATTATTTTCAACATGTCTAATTTTGTGCTATGTATTTATTTTGGGAGAAAAAAGTTAGGATAATATTGGAATAAATGATCAAAGTATAGTACCCTCAACCGCTTTAACATTGAGTATATGGGAAAATGTTGGAGGGCTATGATTTTTAACTTTCTAGTACACCACGTGTTGCATTCTGAACCAAAACCATAATTTGATAATTAATTGCTTGTATGTACAGAAAGATTATACTGAAATATGGTTGTGGTTCGCAATGCAACACACACTTAAATACTGATGACATTGCAAATTTTGCAATCTGTTGAGTTGTGGTCAATTTTATTTAAACACTTAAAGTGAATCATACACATTTATAACATTGTCCAGTCAATCAAACAGATTACTAGGAATTCGATCCTAGCTCTGCGGTATACTTTTTTACCCTTGTGTTTCTGTCTAGCTGTCTGTGTGTCTGTCTGTAACAAATTTTCTTCGCATATTTTCGGCAACTACTCATAGTAGATGATTGGGGCTTTTTTGCAGGTCAAAAGGTGACAATTATTTTTGTATGAATACAACGTCAACTTTCTGTTTATCTGTGTGTCTGTATGTACCAATTTCCATCACGGTTTTCTCAGCGAATACTCATTGCTGATTCTTGAAATTTTAGTACACTCTTCGTTTAGGTATGCCATGTTATTGTGAGATGATTCATGAGAGTGAAACAGAGTGGGGTCTTACTGTTTAGTACTGGCTTGTCCTTTTATACCTGTATTAAAATCATCGATGATATCAAACATGAAAGAAAAATAATTGATTATATTATAACATGCCTGTGTGTCTGTTTGTGAGGAAAACCAAAAACTTTGACACTAGAGACGGTAGTTTCAATATATAAAGACCAAGGTCAAAATTATTGTTTCACAGCAAACAATATTAATTATTTAATGCAAATCAGGTCAAAGTTTCTTGATTTGGGTATGTTGCCGTTTCACAGATTAAATATACATTTTTTTTCTGTTTAGTAACCAGCTCCTGTCAACTTAATTATTAACTTAACTTAATGTGAATTTGAATTTTACAAGATGTTGATGATGCAGTTTGTGCCTTGATCTGTCCTAAATCTATTGCCCATATAACAAGTGGTCTTATCATTATACCCGCCACAAACAAAGTTTGGAGGTATGTAAAGGAATCACCTCGTCCATCTGTCTGTGCAAACATGTCCTTTTCATATCTTTTTTACGGAAGAACATAAGAATTAATACTTTACACCTTGGTCCAAGGTGATTTGTGCAAGTTCAAAGGGGCACATGTACATGCGATTACAAAAACATTTTGAAAAAAAATTAAGATACGTTTCGCAAGAAAATGGGTACAGACATGGAATCAAAGTATATATCTTTAGAATTCAAATGAATGTATATAAAATGAATTTTGATAAAAGACACATCTCAGAATTTGCATCCAATATCTATAAATAAAATAAAATAAGTACATATGAATTATGTTTAATGCCTGTGTTCAGTGTACACTTACAGAATCATTTTTTTTTTATTGCAAAAAATATTTTTAGTATTGAATACAATTTATTGATAAGAGATTTTTACACTTCCTTTGTGTCAATCTAAACGAAATACTATTAAATCGATGTACTTACTTATAATGCGTAGAGGTCTTTTTTCTACTTTATACTTGTAAGAATATGTATGGGTCGCAAGCACAGTTATATTTTAAATGATTTGTCTCATTATATGATATATCTTAATATTGAAAGCTTTTCTTTATTTATAACTGATTGTTTTTCATACCTTTTTTATGTTATTTTAGGAAGCAAAGATGTCTAATAAGAAAGCGTACACAATTTCCATTGAATTTCTATGGCTACAATTACAGAACTTCTTTTTTCAAAAAAATATTAAATAAGTTAACTTTTTGTGTTACTTCAGCCCTGTTCCATGTTCCCTGATGATATATGGTTAACCTTTCTTTAGTTTTTCACAATGAATAGTCTTCTACAAGTAATAAATCTTCATAACCCTCTTAGATGCTTTTAGAGGGACCCTTTAGATATCCCTTGGTCACGTGACTAGTATAAGTTGGTTTTGCAAATAAATTATAAAATATGACAGAGGAAACATTACTAGACATAACTAAAGGAATTAATTTGAAATTCATCATGGGCCAAAAATTAGCCTTATTGAAACCATACCTTTTGTACCGTATGCATACACTACAAAACCATTTCCGATTATACCGACGAACATGATTATTCCGGAAAATATCATGGCGGCGATGTTATGGGAAGCTTCTTTGTAGTTCCACATCCACAAAATCAACTGTATGTCAAATTGTAATGATACATTGACCGAGTGTCTACATTCCATCATTGGTACGTCTACACTGACTTAAATATTGCATGAATGGGTTATTTCATTGATGAAATGTTATCCGGAAGTCATCTATTTTTTGAGAGTCACTTCTTTTATCAGCTTTTCCATTCAGGTAGCTAGGTTGGTAGAGCAAGTTATTAGCCGAGATCTACTAATTGTCCCTCATGCATTTTTAGCATATGGCCATGATAAGAGATTTGAATTATTGTTTTGTAATATCAAAGATTTTGCAAATTGGAAATTCGACTGATTCAGGATGACGTCAACCCATTTTATTTTATAGGTGAACATCTGCTGTGTAATTGCATATGAAGCAAACATGGCTTGATAATCCCTACTCAACATACAGGGAACACTGGACATCTGAAGATCGGTCAGTTAGTCTTGTTGTTCTTAAAGATAAAATAAAGTCCAAGACTTTGAAAACAGTAAAAACAAATTTACCTGGTCATCTTGGAACATTTTTTGCACTTTGTTAAAAAAGATTAAAATAAAGATATCTAAGGGAATACTAGTATTTACAAATTGATAGATTAGATCTTATTAATTTAAGGTTCGCTACAAAGCTCTTTAGCTTACTTTGATAACGGGACGGGAGGCAGTTGGAGACAATAACATGCCCAGAAAGATATTTTAATCTATATCAGTGATAAAGCTTGGTCAAACAAGGCTTTCTAAAAATCATGTCTTTATACCTTCAGCCTACTGAAGGGAAACTCCTACATAAAAAAACAATTTCTGTCTATTTTGTACATGCAACAGGGACTTGGTAAACAATTCATGGTGAATTCAAATTGATATATTAAATTTGGATTTTATTTAATCCTGACAACACTTGACTTGGGTGTAATGCAAACCCCCATCAATATCCCACTGGGCCGAACAATTTATTATTCGTGATATCAGTGACGTGTTCGGCTAGTGATTTTGTAAGAAGTCCCAGGAATTCGAGAAGTAGCAAAACCACGATGTTTTTGGTTTATTTGTCAATTTTGTTTATTTCCTTTGGTAAAATCAAGGTGGGTATACGAATTGATTACATTTTTTTTCTTCTTAAAATTGATTTTCTTTTCTTTTTGAATTTCTTACCCTCTCTCAATTATTCAGAATAATAATAAGGTAGTCTAAAATTATATAAGTTTGAAATTCTTGTAGAAATTTATTTTATTTCTATTTTGTCTCCAACATCCCTCTGTAATGTATTGTATAATAAAAAGATAAATATATAACACAGGCTGCGTCAGATTGCCAACAAAATGCACAACAAAACTGCAACTGCACCTTTTCGGAGGAAAGCGTGTTTGACACGAGATCAGAAATCATGGCGGCATCCATTGGAGCAATGTCACCCCTTCTTCTAACCGGAATCGGCTTTGCAATTTGGAAGTATATCCAAAGCAAAGCTCAAGACATCCCATTTGAGCGAGCACCATCGGACATCTCTGATGATTATTATGAACAGAAGCGCGGATCAAAGGGAAGAGTTAGTCCGTTAGGGTCAGATTATAACTACGCCCGCCGTGGATCCACACCACTTTCTATTACGGACACAGAAAACGAGTATTACATCTCCGAAACTCCCACCTCGGAAACACCATTGTCAGAGATGAATCAGGACGAAAGATGGAGGGCACCTACCAGAGCACAGCCGCCATCAAACAATGGCCGCGTAGTTGTCGCGCCAGCTAAATCTGACGCTCTCAATGGATGGATGTTCTAAAAAAAAAAGTGAAGCGTTGTCGGTATTCTCTCTTGAAGCATAATGTTTTAATTTTTAAAAAATCCTATGCTTTATTTCAAAGTATTAAGATGAAATCAAAACATGTGAAAGTTAAATATGTGACACTTTATTTTGACAACCCTTTGAAAATGAATCGTAAAAATAGGTGGCTCTTAGATTCTATTTTACACAGATATGACATTATTACAATTTGGCATGCTAAACTTATATTGAATTGATTTACGAGATAAGAGAGTCATAAAACCCCATAAAGATTGGTTTACATGAAATTGAAAATGAAAACTTTTCCCCATCAACTCAATTCTTCAAATCTTACATTACTTACAATTTGAGTATGTACTTGACTCTTTATTTTGTTATTTATCAGTGATTTGACAATATTTTGAGTAATATATAGTCGTTATTAATAAGTTCGAGGACACATTGAATTACGGAAAATCTATTGTGTACTGTGAAGTATGACCTATGTCTGAATAAATTCCCACATTTTATTTATTGGGATGTAAAAAATCATGTCCATATAATAAAATCTTGAAATTTACAACGATTTTTACTATGAGGTCATGGGATTAAATCATTTGACGTAAGGCGACGTGAAAACCAGATTTGAACCGGTTAAGTTTGTTGCAGTTCTATAAATCTTTCATTTCTTCAGATTTTTCTGATGTTTTTTCTACTTTAAAATTGAATATCTATAGCAAGACATGTTACTTTTCTTCAATATAATGTCTTTTGTAAAAATTCTGATATTATTGAGATCTTACAAAAAGTCGATGCAGTTTATCGATCAGGTATGGAAACTATGCATAACCATATAGGCGCAACGCAACGTCCATGCGATACAGGGGTATTGAAGTATCGATGGAGTTAATCATTCAAAATGTTAATCCTTCTATTCTTATGAAGCTACAACCATTTGAAAACTTGTCTTTTGTGGGTGTAGGAAATTCCCGGCAGCATCTTGAACATTTTAATCTCTTTTTAGACATTTTCCAGTCTGCATACGTAATTTTTACGTAGTGCAGTGCTCCATGACGCTCAATGACGTTCCGATTTTTGGCTGTGTTTTTAAGCGTTGACCAGTTATAAACGGCTATAAAACAGTCATATACCCTCCAATTTAGTTCTAAATTTCTCCTAGTGACGTTTCATGAATACTTTAGCGGCAGGTAAAATATCATAAAACTCTTTGCGCTACAATTGTGCAATTTTTAATTTAAATAAAGAGTCTTTGTGATGTAAACGTGCCAAAATGTAGCATGCTCCGTGAAGCTAGTTTTATCAAAATAAAAAAGCTGTATATTTTTCAATAATCATCGGAGAGCACCAAATTCTTGTATATTTATTGGAAAAAAGGTAAAGATTTTATCTGGAAAGTTTGACCGGTTTGGGGGAAATAGCGCGCTCACAATAGAACTTGTCCGCGAACTTTTCTAACACCCCTCGTATATATTTCCCGATTATATAATGAATTAAGAATGAAAGAAAATCAAATTGTTGTACTAATTCGTTTTCTATATCTTTTCTTTACAAATAAATGTTGATTAAACAAAGACAATTATCAGTTGTTACTACTATTAAAATTATTTTATTTTATCAATTAAATATTTGAGAAAAAAAATATAAACATATTTGGGCCGTATTACTAAGGCAGGTCATGACAAATTATTATAATTTTAACGTTAAATAAAGAGCTAGAGAGTCAGATTTTTTTTGTACATGAAATGCATTCAATTATCAAAAAATTGGCACTTTTTGAACTAAAAATGTTGTCAGAATTTATTTGTGAAGCGGATTCGACTAATTTGATCGTCACAGAGGCAGAGAACTTCAAGAGAGTTCAAATGATTCCATGCATAGATGTTTTCTAAAAAAAAAAAAGAATATGATTTTTTATGATTTAGAAAATTTGAAATCACAAATATTTGCCAAAGCATCAATTAGTATTCAAGGGTATGACTTTTCACACTTCAATACTATTCCTCACGATTAACTTAAAACAAGGCTATTTTACATCGTGATGAAAGACAACTTCTTCTTTAATAACAATGGGACTTTACCACCTTGCCATTTATCACCTGCACACCTTGCTAAAATTTATTCTGATTGTATGTAAAGGTACTCTTAAATTGAAAATTAAAAAGATGCTCGAGTTTCTCATCGTCTATATAGACTTTAGAGAGCAGTTATTTCAGCACTCTGTTAGAATTTCGAGAGGGCTTATACCAGGAATGAAACATACGGAGATAACGAACAGTATTCAAGATCAAAAGTCCATAAAACAATACAAAATAGGAGCAGAGCAAACAAGTACACGGACCTCCAAAACATCAGAGGTGGGATCAGGCTCCATGGACGAGTGGGCATCCCCTGCTGACCGGTCACATCCGCCGTGTGCTCCTTGTCATGATCGGGAAATAACGGGAAAATCCGTCGTCAATTAAGTGTATAAATAATGAACTAATAATTAGAATAAAAACGTCAGTCAGTATTTGAACATGAATTGTATTTGTTGACAAGATCATTGTATCGACCATAGAACTTACGAAATGATGACTTTAAGCGAGTTTGCTGATATTCTTGTTGCATCAACTTGTATGTCAATAATTTACCTCGTTTTAGAAATTGTTCATACGTAGAGCATGCTCTTGCGTATCGAATCGACTGAGATATATAAACTCCGTATGCAAATGATGAAGCTGCTTAAAGCCATATATGGCGTAACTGATCAAAAAAATATATTTCTGAAAAATACAAAATTAAATAAAGAAATATAGTTAATACATTAGAAGTAAAGCTTTTCATACAATTCTAAACACGGAGAACACCTCGTTTCATCTAATAATACGATTTTATCTTCTCTGTTATGTGTTATTTAACTCTTTTGTATTTTCTTCCGAGTCGGAGAAAATTCCGAGAATCCAAATTAAATTGTGATATCTTTATAACGCAATTGACTTAGATTTTGTAATTTACGGAAAAGTTCTATCTTTATATAAAGTAATGATACAAATAATAAGTTCTTATAATTTTAGTCTGATAATTTTCATTGTACATACGCCATATATGGCTTTAAGTAAGGGAAGTTGACGATTGTTAAGTTAAAGTTATCAACTTTAACATAGAGCTTGTTTGTTAGATTACCATCAATGTCTTTTTCAAGTAAAATATCCACATATGAAGCAGATGTGTCAAGCACTGTGGTATATTTTATCTCAAGCTCACTGAGATATATCGTATCGACATAAGAAACATCTGAAAATAAAATACCTAACAGAATTAAATCTGTAGGATTATCACAGAAAAGTTAACGACCCATTACCTGCGTTGTTTATCTGGTATTTAATATAAATCCTGCCCGAAATAGTCCAAAGAACGCAAATAGACTTTTCTGTATGAAGATGTCACAAATTGATTTTTCCGTATAGGCCTAGCTTTCTGGGAGACATTGCTGGTATTAGTAACATGTATCTGACAATATATATCCAGGATTAAAAAATTGATCTAAGGCACGGCGTCGCTAGGACAGAAGAATTTGTAATGAGCATTAATTATTTTGTGTATATTTTAACAATTGAACTGGCATTTGGGTGAAACGATCAGATAAATTAATAAACATAAAAATGTTTATCTGACACAATTGATGAAAAATTAGGCATTTGATCATGATGTTACGTAATTCAAAGTGAGCGTAAGTAACTATAATGAAATTTGAACGAGATGTTACACATTATTTTGGCGGAAACTTTCAGTTATTATCATTATTTTTTTTTTGGAAATTTTGATTGAAACATTTTAAGAAAAACTCAAATTAAATTTTTTCTAAATACTCTGTGAAATCTACATGGATTGGTAAAGAACAAAATTATTTTTCGGAGTATTAAATAAAGTTCAAATATCGAACAAAAATACCCCAGGAAACATACAGACAGCTTTAAGGTCATTTAGTCTAATACAGGGGAGAATTTTCAATAAAATTGATCGCTCATATCCCCCAAATCACTATGTCAATAGTTTAAAGTTGAAGACCAACATTGTTTTGAATTTATTTAATCTTAAGAATGTTTCTAGTTACTTGTACAGCGGTAAATAATTTCTTAATAAAATTGTAGCTAATTGAATATAAGTTAACAGAAGTACATTTAAAGAGTGTTTGGACCTTAGAATGTTAAATTATTTGGCTACATGCCAAAGTATCTAAAATAACTTCTAATCCCGTACTAGCCAAAGCATTGGAAGATCGAGTTCAGCATGACATCACACTTGTATTTTCTGTGTTGTATTTTATTGAGTGGATATTATCATTATGTTGAGGCAGTAAGTAAAATAATCTTTAAAATATCTAATAAAATTTATGAACAGTTTTACAGATACTTTTATGAAATAAACATTTTAGACATACGTTTTCAAGCATAACATATATGTCAACCTATGTTGCTTATGGATTAATGAAAACAAATGTATTATAATAATATTGTATCTTTTGTACAAAATTTTAATTAAATAATGAAATCATATTTTCAAATTAAGATAAAAATAAGACAAAACACAACATAACGTAAAAGTGTTTTACCGGTATTTTCTTTTTTAAATACGAACACCAAAGTTGAAAATATATTATTCTTATAGAGCAAACTTTATTCTTAATTTTTTCTTCAAAATTAGAAGAAAAAACTATGCTGCGATTATTGATATTTATTTTGAAATTCAAACCATATTATATATTTGAATGATTAAGAGTTATTGAAAAGACAACATAAGATGTCATCTGGAAATAAATTGATTGATTGCATGTTTTTTTAACGTCCCCTTGAGAATTTTCCACCCATATCGAGACGCCACCACTTGCCGGTGGAGAGCTAGAAAATCTCCCCTTACTCAGCACTCAGTGAGGGATCTTTTTCGTGCTATCACCTACTGCGATACGGGACCTCGATTTATACGATCTCATCCAAAGGATCGGTCTCCACGTCTCACAGTGGGATTCGAACCCGCGATGAATCGTCTCCTTACTTCATCAACTGCGCAATGCCGGCGACAAGAAAAAATAAATAAATAAAATTTATACCAGAGTATTGCAATGACTTCTAAAGGACCAGGCAAAATTTATCACTGTGATGGGAACGGTACAAACGGGCATGGGACAATAAGTCTTTTCGTCGACGAAAACCATGGGACAAAAACATTTTTAGCATTAAGTACCCATGAGACACAAACTTTTTTTCAGTGACACAGTACTTAACCCAAGAGAAATATTCATTTTATTTAAAAAATATTCAAGAAAAAATCATATATTTGAAACTGAAGTGAAGGATACAAATGGCAACATAAATCTTTTAATGGAAAATATTTGAACAAACAAAAAACATTTTTTCGAGACTCCTTTGTTTTGTTCCAATTATCTCACTAATACCAAGATGTAACCATAGGACAATAACTTTTTTTATAAGTCTCAAGGCATGGGACGGATATTTTTTTAAAATACCAATGCCATGGGACACGTATTTTTTTAATATGAGGATTTTGTTTTGTACTGGTCCCATCATTGTGATAAATTTTGTCTGAATTTTGACCCCTAGGCTACCTCTCAGGGGATGAAAATTTTATGTTTTTTGTAATTAGGAGTTTTTGGCTCAGTCACTATTTCGATGTTTAAACATTTCCCAAAGTTGATTAATTAATTTTTGATATAATATTTGAAATTTGTATTTCATTTAGTCCTGTGAGGTACCAATGTGCACGTGTCTCATAGACGGAGATCATGTTCAGGTGGAACAAAATCTCGAAGGAAACGAGGCATTGGCGGGAACTGTTGGTGCATTAAGTTCATTGCTTATAACCGGAAGTGCACTTGGGTTGTATGTTCTTTACCAGAAACGATGTAAGACCCCCGGGATTTCCAGACAGGTGTCCGATTTATCTATTAATAAGCCGCCTCCTCCAGGACGAAAAGGAATGTCCCCGCCGCCACCCTATCGTCCGGATACCTCTGCTTCCAGAAACATATACCGGGCTGGGATGAAAGATCCTACAAGTCATCGTGTGGGAAACCGCAGTGCCACACAGCATCTGTACGATAGGATGTCAGACTGGAATTAAACATTGTTCCTTTTCATATGTCATTATTAGAAAATAAAATGACTTGGTATTAATGTCTTATAGTTGTAAATTTGAATATTAATTTTTTGATTTTTATCAGTATCTCTTAATCATTAAATTGTTTCATAATCTCTAAGAATTTGTTTGGAACTTAATCCTGTGAAATGACTATGATATGTTTGTAATGGAAAATTTTCCATAACAGGTAAAGATAAATGTTATTTTCAGTTTTAATTTGGCTTAATTTTCAATTAATCAATAGATCAGAAGCGTATATTGTTTTTGTCCTGTCTGTTTATCTGTTTGTCTGTCTGTCTGTTGTCAATTTTAACCTTCGCTATAACTTTTGAACCGTGAGAGATAGAGACTTCATATTTGGTATGCATTCTCCACTAATTAAGCTCTTTTAAATAACACTAAGGTCAATGACCTTATGACCTTGACTGTGATCTATATGCTAAAAATAGCTTTTTAAAAAAACTTTCGCCATAACTTTTGAATCATTGAAAATAGAGACATCATATTTGGTATGCCAAATTAAGCTCTTTCAAATGACACCAAGGTCAATGACCTTGTTACCTTTATGCTAAAAATAGCATTTTGAACTTTCGCCATACCTTTTGAACCAATAAAGATAGAGACTTCATATTTGATATGCATAGTCCACTAATTAAGCTCTTTTAAATGACACTAATTTCAATAACCTTGTGACCTTGACTCTGACCTATATGCTAAAAATAACTTTTTCGAATTTGTTGCCACCGGGCGCATAGTGTTTCACAAACACATCTTGTTGAAATATGAAATAATTACAGGCTAAATCACGGCGACGAAATGTGCATCATTATATATTCAAGAAGTAGTGTTAATCAGATACTTAAAAATTCCAAAATCAACATCTTAAAACTTTTCAACTTAATATACAACCATTATCCACGAAAAATTAAAGGTCCAAACTTTTTGATATAATTGACAGCTGCTTTTTTAATAAAAAGAGAACTCGTGAATTTATTTATCTTCTCATTGGTCATTTGCAAAATTATTTAAAAAAAAACAACATTCTGATTGTAAATAAAAGTACTCTGAAGTTGACATCAAGTATTTTTGTATTCATATGAAGCAGAATTTGTGCGAAATCCTATGCGTGAAAAGAAGAAACACTTGCTGTGGCTTTCAGCTCGATATTTAGATATAGTGGTAATATTTGTCAATTAAGAATGGTAATTTCCATTCTTATGTCAATACGATATATCCTGGTGAGCTTGAGATAAAAGATACCACAGAGTCTGACACATCTGTTTCATATATGGATATTTTACTTGAAAAAGATGTTAATGGTAATCTAACATAAAGCTCTGTGATAAACATGATGCCTTTAACTTTACAATCGTCAACTTTCTTTACTTATCCAGCAATATACCTTCATCACCTGCATACGGAGTTTATATAACTCAATTGATTCGATACCAAGAGCATACTCTACGTTCAATTTCTAAAACGAGGTAATGTTGCTCTGCTCCTACATGTATATCTAAATATACTCCTTTCCCTTTCAAAATTATTTATATTACCGAGAAACTTTATATTAATATAAAGGTTTAAAAAAATTAATATCTGCAAAAAATAATAAATAAATAAATAAATCATGGACTGATTGTGTTTAATGCTAATGCAGATCATGCTATGGCTTTAATTTCGACATCTAGGGATACAAGTATATCGATGATGGGTTTTTTTTGAAAATTAAAAATGGTAACTTTCATTAATTAGTCAATATATAAAATAAAATATGGAGATAATGAACAGTATGCAAGCTCTAAAGTCCATACAAACAACACAAATCGGGAGCAGAGTAAGGATCAGGTGCCATTGAGGATTAAACATCCCTCGTGTGTTACTTGTCATGATCGGACTGACAGTAAAATCCGTAGTCAACCCAGTGTGAAAATAATGGTCTAACAATTTTTACAAAAAGGCAGTCTGCACTTCAAGAGAGATTGTACTAGATTACAAGGCCTTTATATCGACCAGAGCCGAAATTATGTCTTTAAACAAGATTGTTGATGTCCTTTTTCATAAACTTGTTTTTCAAAAGCTTGATCGTATTAGAAATTGTTTGTATGTAGAGATTGATCTTGTGTATTGCACCAACTGGGAGACATAAATGAAGGTGATAAAGGTATATTGCTGCAAAAGAAAGACAATTTGATGATAGAAAACTTGAAGCCATCACGTTTAACATCAGGTAAAATATCATAATAGAAACATACTAGTAGTTTTGTGAACTAAAAAAATAAATAAATTACAGAGGCTGTCACATCTGTTTCATATTTGCATGTTTTTTTCTGACTGTAGGCGATAATTACCAACAAAGAGCTAAACTGTAGGCACATTGACCTTTGATTCTTTCCACCGTGAACTTCCCATTATTATGTAGAAATATTCATTACCCTCTTTTAAAGTTAAGTCGCAAACTTATCAAGTTAGCAAAATATTCCGATCGAAATTTTAATTCATTTAAATGTTTTCACACAATATCTTTGAAGAAAGATAATTATTACGCCTATTATAACAACCTGAAAAATGCTAAAAAAAAAAAACAAGCGTTCAAAAATAGCGAACATACATTGTATACATTTATCCAAATGCGTTTATGTACAACACTCTTATATTATCCATACAGGAACAAATTGAAAAGGGTAAAGATAATGAATAGGGATTAATTTCTTAAAAACTTCAAATAATGCATATCTGTACATGTGAACTGAAGGACATAAACGCGGACTCCTGAAAATTCCTGAGGTGGATTGGGGGGCCGATGAGAGTAAGCATTCCCTGTTGATTGTCTTAATTTATAACTCATGTTCTAGTCTTACAAATTCAAAATTTTGAGAACCCAGTTTATTTATTTGAAAACGATACATTTTATTTAGGTCACATCATGATCATGTCATAGATGTTCATTATGATAAAGGTGTTGCAGTCTTTTTGATAATTTATTTCCCTTTAACAATCCATTATTTTCCGCAATTTTGAAGGACTGTATCAAGTTTGGTTCCAGTATAGTACCTATGAGATAGAACATTCAAATATTTGATGCATTATCCGGAAGCATGTGATCATCATTACATATTCAACTCATTTGAATGTTGATTACCCATAAATACAAATGAAACAGACGATTAGAGTGTAAAATCCAAAGTCAGAGATTGCTTGGAGTTTGCTTTGATTGTTATTTAAAAGGATTTGTTTTAGATTGTTAAGCATAAATTTCTGTTTGGTGGAAACTTCAATATAAGGATATTTCAGGTGAAAAAAAAACGTTACACAGCAATGCAATAATGTAAAATGTCACGATTGAAGTTGATATCATTTAATGCATACTGTATAACTTGAGATTTAAAAAAAGGTTCAATAAATCATACATGTATTAGATATATCAATTGTAAATTGTTTCCAGAAGTTCATTTTATCAGATTAAGTACTATTAATTGAATCCATGCAGGGATAAAATCTTATGATATCGGTAAAGGAAATTCATTTTTTTTTAGTTTGATATCAGTGAGCTCGAGGTAGAACATATTATTGGCAAAGAGTGATTTAATATTGATGCTATGTCCTTTATATACATTGGTACATACAACAATAAAATATGATTTCGAGTTTAGTCTAAGAATACAGCTATTACTGGAGTTTGTATAAATTATGCAGATAAAATTGCCTATCCTAAAACTCTCCCAAATGACCGTGGATTCTTTCACATTTGGATTGAGGATGATAAGAACGTTTTTCGTGACCTTTTCATATACTAATTCTCCATGGATTACAATTTCTTTCTGAGATTCCTGACTTTTTTAATTTGCATCTCATGTCTGAAAGGTATAGTAGTGTATATTCCTGTGACATTATGCGAATTCAGGAATCAATTACTTGATATTACCTTGATTCTCCTAGTTCAATCAAAGTTAACAATCCTTATATGATATCCTATTAGAATTATCTGCCGACAAGTGAAAAACAAATGAGGCTCGTACACTTAAAATCAAAATAAATTAGGCATTGGATTTGATATCAGGTAGTATTTATTATAGTCATATTCAAAGACTTTGTTTGGGTACTGTGAACTCACTATAATTTCCGTGGGGGTTTAATTTTCGTGGTTTTAAAGTATGGAATATACATATTTTTTACACACGACTGTTTATCGAAAAGGAAACTAGACAAAAAAATTAATTTACAACTATTACATGTACTTTTTGAGTGAACTCGGAATAAAGTTTACGGACATCATCTCATATATACATGTATAATGTAATAATGGAGGAGGAGTTATGAACTCTGATGTAGACATTTAATTTATTTGCAAAATTTATCATTTGATATGTATAAATGCAATTTCATTTTATTTTTTTCATGCTTCCTTTTATGAAATAACCCGATATTCAGAATGTTCTGCGGAGTGGGAACATTGGGGACCCTGCAGTGTGACTTGTGGGGAAGGTGTTCGGAAAAGAAATATGCATGGATGCCATACTGAAGAACAATGTCATCAGTATCAGCACATTGACCCCTCCCAGCAACATGGGCACACTGACTATCATCATGAGCACACTGACCATCCTAATCATGAGCACACTGACTATCATCATGAGCACACTGACTATCATCATGAGCACACTGACCACCCCCATCATGAACACACCGACTATCATCATGAGCACACTGACTATCATCATGAGCACACTGACCACCCCGATCATGAGCACACTGACCATCATCATGAGCACACTGATCATCCTAATCATGAGCACACTGACCACTGACCACCCCGATCATGAGCACACTGACTATCATCATGAGCACACTGACCACTCCAATCATGAGCACACTGACCACCATCATGAGCACACTGACCACGCCAATCATGAGCACACTGTCCACTATCTTCACGAAACATCATGTGTGGAGTTTCGAAAATGTTACAGCCAAGCTTGTTCAGGTATGTCAAGTAGGAACAATGGTCATCATAATATAATGTGAT